TCCTCATCCCCCAAAGTTCAACAATCGCGATGGCCGGATCATGATGGAAAACATTGAAAGTTGGGCTCGTACCGCCTACGGATATCGTGGAATTCGCCTTGATTATATCTTTCGTGAAAATTCTGAAGTGCCAGTTGTTGGTGACCCTGGATTCCTTCGAGCCGACGACGGCTCTCGCTCCATCGAAGAAGAACTTGTCCGACGTGCTGCCCATACTGGTGCTGTTTTCCGTCGCAACAACCAGAAATTTTGGGTTATGCTCCATGCAGTCACACATGAAACGGATGCCTACAATCATGTTCGTCAATTTGCTCCAAGTTTGAATGGTCGCCTGCTTACTTCGCTCTGTTTGCACAATATCGTGGAAGGGAACATTTCACTGTCCGTGTCCTTGCAACACTTCACTGGAACGGTAAAGCTCGAGGCTTCACTTGGAATACTTTTATCAGCGTTTACTCTGTGTCGACCAACTACGTGCCAACAGCGTGGTGGTAAATGACGTGCCGTTAATCCGATTACGGCCTGAACAACAAAACAGAGAAGCTCATGCTATTTTGACATCGGGTATACGGATCCCGCTCCTATTTGACAAGCCAATTTCCTATTTTACATGTCGCCAACCTACCGATGAAGAGGTCAGCGATATAATGGAGTTTCAGCCTGTTTGGATGACTGCAGACATTCCTTGGCAGCCCTATGATCCTGATTCCAGGCGCCAAGAAGAAGCTCTGCGACAACAGATTGATGCTGATTATCAAGCACCGTAACACCAACTCGCATCTTTCACTCGACTTGATTCAACGCTCCCAACTGCTGCTTGCCTTGATCGTTTACCGCAAGTTTTAGGGGACAACAACAATGTCGTATGTGGCGTACACAGTTTGACAATTCGATCGATGAAAACTTCCGGAAAATCCTACCTCATCAAGCCGGATCAACTTGCTCGTCGATGGAGAACCAGTATTGAATGTGCTCGTCGCACCCTGGAGAAGACAACTCAACGTGCCGTTCGTGATTGGTCGGTCGTTCAGGGGTCTCGCCGTTTTCGCCCTGTACAATATCAGTTGGAGTATCCGAGATTGAAAACAAATGTTTATGTTGATGTTAAGTTTGGACCCTGCAAGTCAGCTGAAGGAAACACTTGCATCGCGGTCTACGCTACACCAGTACAGTGGGCTCGTGCTTATCCGTTGAACAAAGAATCAGATGTTCACACAAGCCTCACACAACTATTTCGTCAGTTCGGTTTTCCCCAATGTCTCATACCTGATGATGCCAAGTCTCTCACTCAAGGGAAATTCCGAGAAGTTGCTAACAAAGGACAAGTGCCGATTCATCCTATTGAGCCTCATCATCCTAATCAAGCACTTACAGAGGACACAATTCGGGAAGGAAGTCGACTTTACCGTCGATTCATGCATGCAAGGAATATCCCTATTGCGTTCTGGGATCGAGTTTTTATGTATGCTTTTGAGATTCGCAGTCACATGGCATTGGGACTTGCGATACAAGAAGGAGAATGTGGAGCCACAATTGTTTCTGGCAACACTAAAGATATCTCTCACCTGGTTGATTTTGCTATTTGGGATTGGTGTTGGTGCCTTTCGCCTAATCGCTCATCTAAGGATGGGAAACAACTATGCCGTTGGCTTGGTCCAAGTTTTACTATTGGAGCAGCTATTTGTTTTGCTGTTGCTATTGCCAATGGACAAGTACTACAACGATCGTCAGTGAATCCGCTATCAGCTGAAGAACGAAACAGTGAACCTATGGAAGAGAAAAAGAAAGAGTTTATGGAAGACCTAAAGAAGAATCTGAAGAAGAAGTCTGATGGAGTTTCTATATCTGAAGAAGAACTTGACCGCATTCGGCATAAATACAACATACCGATCTCTGCAATCGAGGATGGTGGTTATCCACAGTATGATCAGTATGAAGATCACCCACAAGAAGATCCTCGTCACAAGATTGAAGATGATTTCGAAGAGCCGCCGGATCAAGAAGCGGACCCTGTTGAATTCGATAAATATGTCTCTGCGAAGGTTTCTTTTAATGCAGATGGAGTTGAAACTTTTGGAGTCGTTCAAGGTCGGAAGCGTGACTCATCTGGAAAATTGATTGGTCATTACCACGAGAATCCACACCTTGACACATCTATCTATCAAGTGGAGTTTGAGGATGGCAAAGTGGAAAGCTTCTATGCAAATCAGATTATTGAAGGGATAATGATGAATGTCGATGATGAAGGTAACACGATGTACCGGATTCGCGAATTTATTGATCATCAACGTGATGGAAGAGCAGTTAAAGGGGACGACGGATGGTATACTACCTCCAACGGTCTCAAGCGTCCACGAAAGACAACTAAAGGATGGAAGTTGTTAGCTGAAATGAAAGGTGGAGAAACCGAATGGCTTGATCTGTCAGTAGCAAAAGAAGCGTTTCCTATTGAGGTCGCCGAATATGCTGTTGCAAACAAGCTTGTGTCAGAGCCTGCCTTTGCGTGGTGGGTTCCCTACACTTTGAGAAAGCGTGATCAAGTTTTGAAAGCTGTTAAGCGCCGTGCTGTGAAAAGGCAGAAACCAGAAAACTTTGGTATTGAAGTGCCTGGTCCTGGGCCGAAAGGTATCGCACGTGCGTATGAACTTGATGCTGAGAATGGTACCTCGCATTGGAATGATGCTTTGATCAAAGAGGTCAAGACAATCCTGCCAGCTTTGAAGATTCTGGAAGAAGATGAAGATGTTCCTGTTGGATATCAGCTCATTGACCTTATGACTGTCTTTGATGTCAAGATGGATCTGACACGGAAGGCACGGATATGTGCTAGAGGGGACCAGACTGACCCTCCAATGTCTGTCACCTATGCAAGTGTTGTGACAAGGGAAAGTATTCGACTTGCTTTTGTTATTGCTGCTTTGAATGGTCTGAATGTTTTGAGTGCTGACGTCTCGGGTGCATATCTGAATGCCAAATGTGCCGAGAAAGTTTATTGTATTTTAGGGAAGGAGTTTGGAGAATATGCCGGGAAGAAAGCTATTCTGGTTAAGGCCGTTTACGGACTCAAAAGTTCCGGGTTCGCATGGAGAAGCCTCTGTGCAGACGTTTTGAAGGAACAATTGGAGTTCCAACCATGTCGCGGAGATATGGATGTTTGGCGTCGTCCTTGTCAACGCAAAGATGGTTCAAAGTATTATGAGTATATTTTAGTCTATACTGATGATGTCATTGCAATTTCCGAGAATCCAAAAGCTATTATGGACAAACTCAACAATTTCTTTGTTTTAAAACCTGATTCAATAAAAGAGCCAACCACGTATCTTGGTGCAACAATCTCGAAGCACAAGTTGGATGGTGATGATTATTTCACCTGGGCTATTGGATCTGAAGCATATCTACAAGAGTCATTACGAGTTGTCAAGAAGCGAATTGCGCCAATGCAACTGACTTTGAAGAAAAAGGTTTATTCAACTTTACCCACTGGATACAAGCCGGAACTTGATTCTACTCCTTTTGTCAATGATGATACTGCCATACTTTACATGCAGCTCATTGGTATTCTGCGCTGGCTTGTGGAACTTGGTCGTATCGATGTTGCCGCCAAAGTGTCTATGCTCTCATCTTACAATGCAATGCCTCGTGAAGGTCACTTTCATGCTGCCTTACATATTTTTGCCTATTTACAGAAGCATCCTGATCGTATACTTGTGATGGATTGTGGTTATGCTGATCACCTGAGACCATTAAAGAAAGCTGATTACTCACAGTTCTACGAATTCACTAAGGATGAACTCCCAAGTGACATGCCTACACCTCTTGGCAAAGCGGTAGAGTTTACTATGTTTGTTGATGCATCTCATGCAGCTAATGTTGTTACTCGTCAATCAAGAACAGGAGTATTGATCTTTGTTAACAAAGCTCCTATTATCTGGTATTTGAAAAAGCAGAACAGTGTCGAGACAAGCAGTTTTGGTTCTGAGTTTTCTGCTCTAAAGACAGGTGTTGAATTATTTGAGGGACTACAATTCAAGCTCAGAATGATGCGCGTCCCAATTCAAGGTTTTTGTCATACTTGTGTTGACAACGTGTCCGTTGTCAAGAACTCAAGTGTTCCTGAATCTCAATTGAAAAAGAAATCGAATGCTGTCGCATATCACTACGTTCGCTCCAGATGCGCAATTGATATCCTACGAATTGAATGGATCATTTCCGCTGAGAACTTGGCCGATGTTTTGACCAAGATCCAACCTGGACCTGTTCGTGATCGTCTTATTGAACACATCATGTGGAAAGCAAAGCAAAATGGAAAACTTGCTCTTTTGATTTAACTTTTGGAAACGTCTTCATCCGTCGCCGGATATTGTCAGTCTTGGACAGTATTGGATGATACGTCCTCCCAAGAGGGGGTACGGTTGATATTAGCCCAATCCGGAGTACAAGGTTCTCTGATACATCAGTATCACCTTGAGGGGACCGTTAATTGGACCAGAGAGTGTCCGTCATTCGTACGTTAGATAGATTAACCTAGAGATTCGCACACAACTTGTAAAATCCCCATGTTTGTCATCGTACTCGTTCTCGTCCCGAATCTCTCGTACCTCGCTACTAAATTTAACGATTTGACATTCCAGTGATATCTCCCATCGGGATTGCTGGTTACTGGAGAACGCCGGCAAGTTTGTGCTGAGATGGCTGGCGCGCGAGCTCACAACAGTTGCGTCCATGTACGTGTACCGGTACAACAGTGCTGTGTGATCTTCGATAGCATAATATTGATTGATAATATATATGCTGATCAATCCATTTGAAAAAGCGCGACATTCACATTCGAGTTGCAGTATTTCAAATATATTTGATTCATTTTTCAATTTCTTGCAATTGACACTTCTTAGATAGATAGAAGAAAGCACCAATATGATTTTTTTTCCAGAAGGATACGAGCCAACAAACAAGGATATCTTGTGCGGCCGCGGCAAAGGGAATTTACGTCACGAAGGGAATCAGCACTTCATGGAGATTATCCGGGCCAATCTAGAGCGTTATAATAACGCTCCAAAGCGCATTGATAAGAGTCTGGTTGTTTCGCTCATCGTTTCTTCGCTCAAGGATGATGGCTACAAATTTGTCCGCCAAGACACCAAATCTCGCATGTGGTTTCAGCTTAGCGAGCCACAGGTGCATGAAAAAGCTGGTCATGCTATCCGGGACATCCTTAAGAAAGGAGGCAATGCAGTACAACAACAATCACAATCAAAACAAGCCATCAATACGAGCAACAACTTCGATTCTGCACAAACGAACGAGCCAGATATTGTGGCTTCTCAGATTCTCAGCACTGCTCTGAAAGTGTCAAAATTGGTGGAAAAGAGCAAACTTGACTTTACTGCATTGTCATGTAGCCAAACAATGGCGCCAGATTATGTGGCTTCCAGTGATCCACAGAGAAGGAACAGTCGTGAGTATCGAAGGTCGTCCATTGTTCGCCTCTTTGACGAACTGTCCCCAGAGGAACCGGCAGATGCTCTCTCTTCTGGTGGTTTTATGAACGACCAGCCTCTCCCAATCGATGCTCGCAACAGCGGTGCCTTGCGCACGTCCGATATGATGCAAGTATTCGAGTCGCTTGCGAACTCAACCTCCGATGCGCCACACCATCAACGGCAGCAGCAAGGTGAAGAAGAGGAAGAAAGCATTATTACACCCCGTTCGAAGCGAATGGGATCTAGTAGTCGTGAATTTAGGAGATCAGAACTCCTTCAATTCCTCGATTTTAATGAAGATGAACTCATGGAACCCGAGGAACAAGCAAAAGGCACGCCTTCAACTGATCAACCGTTGTCAATGGATTCACGCACCAGCGACACATTGAATTCGCTATTTAAAGACCAAGAGGATATTTTTAGCAACTTGCAGAATGTGTTTGGCTCGCTTCCAGACGCCGCGAATGCTGACCAAAGCCCGCAAGAGATGGAAGAGCGCAACAGCCGTGCTTCCCAGGTCTTATCAGAACTGCTCAAGCGCCAAGAAGGAATTTTCGAGGAATTGCAGAATTTTGAAGCAGAATTCGATGTCCAGTAAATCCACGTCGAATATGGTAGTTCTAAATATGGTGATTCATGGGACCAGAGAACTTGCAGACGTGTTGTTCCTGGAGGGGTTTAACATCTATGTTCCAATATAATAATTGCACTTGCGGATTTGTCAACCCAATTACAGAAAGTTGTACTCATGTCATTGCAATCTCTTCCAAGAGGTGTGGATTTCCAGCCAAGTCTTTATTCTCTTCTTCACTTGACTGAGAATGGGCATCTCCCGACATGTCGACTCTGAGAGGTCCATCTCCCGACATGCCGACGCTGAGAGGTCCTTCTGAAGCAAGAGGGACATCTTCAATTTCGTCAATACTAAGACTACTGCTGCTGACACTTTCATTCGCTCCATTCCGAATCTTTCTCGCACTTTCTGAAACAACCAAAGGACCGGTCGAGACTCGTGCAACAGATTCTGAATATCGTGGATGGAATGAATTCTCACGCATCATGCTGCTTCTTCCTTTTTGTTGGTCCAAATTCTGCGATATTTTGTCAATCAATTTGGCTTGCTCTGCCAGTTGGCTTTTCAAATCTGCAATCTCAGCATCGTGCTTCGAACCCCTACTTTGGGTTGTACCACGGGCACCCCCACCCCGTCGTTTGTGTCGACGCAATATTCTATCTCCATCCCAAAATTGATCTGGATGCCATCCTGAGTACATGGTTATCAGTGTTTCGTTGTAGTGGGCTTGCAGAGTTACAAGTGGTAGCTCATTCGGTACATTTCGAAAGGGGTTCTCCAATTCTCGCGCTACTTCATGGATCGCACTCAAACACATCACGGTCAGAAAGGTTAAGGTTGATGCCAGCCAAACTTCATCCACATATTGTTCCATCAAAAAGGGAATGCATGGTACCAATACCAGTATGAACATGACACTAAGTTGTGCATGAGGAAAAGGAAATGGTATAAACATGATCTTGCGTGCATGATTGTAGTAGATCATGCCATCTCCAAGAAATTGGATGCACCGAGAAATGATTGGCGGTCCCACAGCACCCATAGACCCAGCCAGGTGCTCTCGGATCATAAACTCGGACAACCAATTCCAGCAGAGTTGTGTCTTTGCATATGGGCCTCGAGCCATTTGCAAGAATCGTATTTCCGCGTCACTCACGCCGCCAATGACAGGAAGCGGCCTTGAAGCGTTATACCGAGTTTGCTCTTTTGGACTACGACCCATACCAAGGAAAGTAAATAAAGCCTTTAGCCTGTGCCCCTTTCCAGGGTGCTTTAAGATTTCATCACGGTCTGGGTCAACTTCTGGCCATGGTTGTCCAGGCTGAAAACATGAAAGAGGCGATTCGAAGCCTTCCATGTCGTTTCTGAGAGTGCTAAGGGAGACTGCGACGAGTAAACTTGATAAATGCGCCAACTCTTGAAGAAAAAGAGGCGGGGTCCTGCCCCCGTCAACGCTGGCAAAGCCTTTAAGATTATTGTTTTCTGGAACAAAGACTTGTCGATTCTCACGGTACAAATGGGACCAATTTCCATCTAGCCGCGGCCTGCCAACTAGAGGAGTCGGTTTGTCACCATACTCTCGCTCGGAGTCGTCGAGGAATTCTTCAAAAAATTTGCCGTCAGTATTGCTGCTCATGGATTCGTTGAACATTGCTGCTGCTTCACCAATGTCTCCCAAAAGTGGCGATCGCGACCGGATAGATGATCGCGAATCCGCCGGTACGTTGAGGGAATTGATGCTCTTCACTTTTGCTCTTTCCAGCTGTTCCCTTTGCTTGTTTTTTTGCATTTTTCGTTCTATCTTGTTAGCTTCAAAATTTGCCGAGAAGGGAGACGAGAGCCTTCGAGCCATGCGCCTTCCATCTGGTAGTCTCCCCGGCCTCGGATCTCTCCTTTCTTTTCCTTGTCCATCTCTGAAATCTTGAAGATAGCTCCTTGATCTCGCACTTACAGGCAGATCGTCGTCCAAAGGATGCTCTGTTTCTTCTTCTACCTGGTCGTAGTAGTCTGCACCCCGTTCACGATCTCGTGTCAAAAAGAGGTGATTCAATTCTGGATAATCAAAATAGCTCGGTGGTTTAATATCCTTGTAATGATCGCATTGTAAATGATACACACACGAGTGAATAGTTGCATCCATCCATTTGCCCATCATCTGGTGTATGCATGATGCGCCTTCCCAGTATCGAGCATATCCCTGACTCGCACGAAAAACAATAAGGAAAGTAATGGAAGAAACAAGAACACCAATGGCGTATGGATGACCCAAATCCTGTTGCTCTTGATACGACAACCCAGCTTGGGATCGAAAGTGCACCAAAAAGTAGAGACCCACGCTAAACAAACTTGGGAAGATACTCCTGTACACTGCACTTCCATGGACTCGAAAAATCAAATTCAGCCCAAACGCTGAACGGTTGTATGTGATCATGTTTCAAGTTGTAGGAAATGCTTCATTGACGCATTTGGTTCTAATTTCTGCGCTCAGTATGAACGTGTGCTTTGTTTCCTGGAACTTCCGTGGCTTCTTGCTGTAGTTTGTGCATCGTGCATGAAAAATGAAAGGTTCCCAATTGGGCCTAAAACAGTTCTATTGGTGTTGATGGGCTAGTAGGAGCTTTTGCCCCCCCAGCGCGAGGCGGGACTAGAGTAATCTTAAAATAACTACATATTTCTAGACTTCAATGGGAGACCCAGACATCAGCCACATCATCAAGGCGATCAACAACAACAAAGAGGCAGACAAGTTGCCTACATGACTGACTGCACTGCCAAGTCCCAAGCAGATATATTAGAGCAATTGAAGGCCAACCGTCGTCGCCAATCTCAAGCACAAGATCAATCATCTATCATCTACTCACAGCTACTTCAGACCCCCGTAAATACACCCCAATAGCAATACCAATCGCCGTCTATTATGCCCAAAAGTAGCTACATCAATGCACTAGTAAGCTCTCTCTACGATGAGAGTCAGGACCCCAATGTTGTCCTGTTAAGCGGAAGCCGGCCCAAAATTTGTAGCCCCCATGCATTTGATTCGCAGTCAGAGCCACCAAGTTTGTTCACACGATCAGCCAACACATGGGGAGGACAGTTCAACAGCAAGTCCTGTCAATGTGGAGAATGCAGCGTTCGCCGCGATGACTGCCGAGTCGCATCACAAATATAAAAAAAATGAAAAAAGAAGCAATCGCATCAACGAGAAATTGTATTGGGTCAATTGAAGCAACGTGGACAAAACCAATACCTACAACCAGTATACCATTGATACTGCCGTCCTAGCTCCAACCACAGAGTCTCCGGAAATCAAGCAAGCGATCCTACAACAGTCTGTGAACTCCATCAAGCAGACAAAGACAAACACAAGGTGGATTTCTTGATGAAGCACTACACATCAGTATGCCCAGATGTTTGCTTGCGAGTCAATGCCGCCATCAGCAAATTGTTTGATGTGACTAGTAGCATGTACGAATTCACAAGCCTGCACATCATTGACAACATGGGACAAGCGATCACTACAGGACCGGGACCAGGACTTCCAGCACCATTTAGAGCCGCTGCCACATACTTCCGATTTGAGTTCCAATTGGTCCCACGGCTGTGTTCCCTACAAACTGACATTGGAATTGGCCCAGCAAAGTTCCCACCATCTTCCAACAGAGCTGTATACGTTCCAGTGCCAAGAGTCCAGAACCGGATGGGCGTATCCATCACTTGCCAAATGGTAATGGACCAAGCACATCACAAGGAAATCATCGAAGCAATGGCAGCACTAGGAGAAGAGTTCTTGATGAGAGCTGCAACCAGAGCCTGATAACAAAGCCTACAAAAAGTGGTCCAAGCAACAGATCGCGAAGACCCAACTTCAAGCGCTCGAACAAGCACTCACAGCCACCTGCGTCGGACTACAACAAGGAATGGAGACGCCAAACCAACAACTGGCAAAACTCAACATGATCCGATACAAAGGAGGCATGATGATGTACAACAGCGTGGCTACTTTATTTGGCAGAATTGCCACAATTCTAAATGAGTGCAACCACAAGAATCCCCCGCCAACCAACCTATCATGTTGGTGAAATAGGATCCTAATGGATAAAAGAACAGTCAAACATGTCGGACAGTAAAGTCGGACATTCGTGGTATCGAACACGGACAGGAGTACAGTTTGAGTACGTACAGAGATGGATAAGTATTGAAGGTAGATCCGGATCTGTGACTAGTTTGTGAAGAACATGTGCGTTGTATGTGCTTTATACGCCGCGACAGCTGGTGAGAGCTGACGCAGGCGGCTTCCAGAAGAGATTTTTTGTACCTGCTTGTGGAGATCAGTGTTGATCGACTTCTGGCAAGAATAGCAGTAGAATAAGATCTAATAGGAAGTGGTGAGACTGTTCATCTGCAGGTAGAAGCCCAGCATCACTGGCACCTGTTCCTATTGTAGGCAATCCATAGCCAACATAGATTCGAGCTCAGTATACTCCAGAGGTAGCTAGAGTGTTGAGGCTCTCATTACAGCTACGGAGTTGATTATCTGACAGTCGATCAACAAATGTAACTTTTGAACCTTGCAAAGTAGGAGGAACTACAGAGCAAGATGCCTTGTGGAAAAGACCAAGGAAGAGGCGGTCGACGTGGCCGTGAAGGAAGATCTGCACAGCAGACCGGTCAAGGGTCTCACGGAAAGAAGACCAAACGACCAAAACAATACCATCCTCACAATCCTAACTTTACTCATGGGCAGGTGACGATATACTTGCTTGAGGCTATTGCACTCAAGAGCTTGGACTACGCTCAAGATATGATCAGGAGGGTGAGAAATTTGGCCAACGTGGACTTTGAGGCTTTAAGAGGCACTCAGACAGTCTACAAGCCGGGAAAGACCACAAGAGTTTGAGACAGACTCAACTTGATAGGAACTGGGAAAATCTAAATAACAAGATTGACAAGAGAGAGGTGATCTACACCACAAACCAGTATACCGTGGCTGCAATCATCACTAAGCATTTCATCACTCAAGCAATGAGAGATAAGTTAAGCAATGAAACTGATTGGTTGGACCTCAAGGAAGACCATGTGATGCTGTTGAAGCGTATGAAGACGTTCATGACCATCACGGATGAGACCAAGTGGCAGCACTTTGGACTCATGGAATCTCTCAGGAGATTTGCAAACTGCACTCAGAAGCAAAATGAGTCAGTGAATGATTACAGAAGGCCGTTCGAAGCTCAAGCTGACCAAGTATTCGAAATCCTTGGCACCGATGTGTTGCCTGTCTATGTAACCAAAATGATGGGGTACCTGGATCTGTACCAAGGCACTCCAAGAAACGTTCAAGAAAGAAGTTCTGGAAACATTTAAAGCAAGTGCTTTCTTTTGCAACTGCAACAGGTCTCACTTCCGAAGCATGTTGGACAAGGCAAACCAGACCTACACCATGGAATTCAAGGACTACAATCAGAGAAATGAGTATCCGACTATGATTGATCAGGTTGCAAAAGCGCTGATCAAACATAAGCCGGACAATTGAAAGAAAGGTCCAACAGCACCGAGACCTACTCCAAGAACAAACACTGCAAGCAGCAGTGCCCCTGACGGAGTGAGCAACGCACAAGTGACTGCTCAAACAACATCTTCACGACCAGCTTTTAGTTGCTGGTGTTGCGGAGATACTGGACATGGCGTCACCCGTTGTCCCAAACGCGGAGCAACCCAGGACAATACAGCGACGCACCCACTGCTACTACTGCTACTACTGCTACTACTGCTACTACTGCTACTACTGCTACTGCTACTGCTACTGCTACTGCTACTGCTACTGCTACTGCTACTGCTACTGCTACTGCTACTGCTACTGCTACTGCTACTGCTACTGCTACTGCTACTGCTACTGCTACTG